TGCTTTGGATCCCGATGCCTGTGATCCCATAAGCGTTGAAGCAACAATAAGTGGTTGCCTTAAGATCGAGGGTGGCGGTATATACATCGTGTCACTAGGATAGATGATCACCCTAACGACGTGGCTCACCCAGTCGTTATGGATGGAAGACTCTGAGGGACCGCCCGAGGTATCGGCTGTATCTGACGTGGATGAACTGCCTCCTTTCAACTTAAATATGTGAGCGAGAGCGGGTTCGACTGTGCTTCTCATGACAGGGTTGGTTCCCTCTGGGGATGCCCGTGGGTTGGCAAGAAGGGAGTCAAACCCACAGTGGAGCCTGGACTCAAAGGTAAGTTCCTAAGTCCGGTACCGCGTGACAAACCCTGGCTGGCTGAGAGTAGGGGGAGGCGCAACATGTGCCCTGACGCGAGAGCCCTGCCCCGAAATCGGAGGCTTAGCTGCCAGCATCCCTGTTCGCATTTAGTGCCCGAGGTCCCAGAGGAGACCTGGTGCAACAAGCCTGAGCCTCAGCCTCGCCTCACTCAAATCAGCGGGAGAGTCGTGGTTGGGAACAGGGGTTCCCCGGAAGAGACATGTTTTGAATGCGAGCGATGCTTTCTGTGTTTCTTCCTGTTTGCCGGTCGAGGGGCCGCAGTGGAGACAGCTCGCTCCGACTGCATCTACCCGGCCTGCCAGGGATGCAATTTGTGGGTTCCATGCTGGTAAATTCTGATTATAACCACTGCACAAAACCGGCGGCGAGTCTCTGTTGCTGTCATTATTGTCATAAAAATGAACACGACATGCATGAGGGAAGCGAAATACAGTTGGAAAAGGTGACACAAAGAAAACCAACAAGGTGGTTAAATTGTGTCGCCGGGTTTTATTTTCTTAGTTGTAAAAAATTATACACACAAAGGGGAAAAACGACACAGGGTAAAAATAATAAGAAAAACTTATCCTACCCACAGTGTCATCTGCCGCGCCAGTGGCAGCAACCCAAGCCAGAAACCTGGACAGGAAAAGGCAGGTCTTCCAGGCAGAGCCGCTAGACTTCATCCTCGTCAGTACGGAGATAAAGAAAGAGTGAATTACAGGGTAAGATGGTGTCGCCACATTACATGGTTCGTGACATAAGGGAGAAGAATCTTGGGTTCATGGGGCTTCCCCTGACCTAGATTTTATCACTCAGTCATTGGCAGAATCGCTGATTAATGCCTACAGTTCAAAATAGTCATTTTCCCTGACCGGAGTCTATGGTGGGTAATTGAACATATTAAATTGTACCGGGAAGGAATTTTTCGGTACGTTTATTTGGGACATGAGACTAGTACATATATGTATAATATCAAAGCAATTGGTTTTAACAAGAAGTTTTTACCAAATTGAAGAATTGAAGATATCATCATGAAATGAACAAATCTAAGAGAGGTCTACCCAAGGTACATATACACCAAGTATCAAAGCATTCAGATTTGTAGTTTTCAAGGAGAAGTCGAACAAGACATGAATGTCACAGTCCACGTTATTTGATTATAAAGTATTACATCTGCAAACAGGTGAATGAATAACTACTCTATGTGGGTACAACTCATCATAAAGTGATTTCCCATAATCTAGTTGTGTACTAACAACTAAAAACTTCCACTGAACAATGTTCAGAATCTCAGAGTACACAAGTGCAACAAAACTATTTGTCATACATGTATACTTGCTCAAGAAACTGCATTCATTAATCTGAGTGAACCTTGATGTACATGACGTCTTTGTTAATTCAGGTCTTAGTATATTACCAGGACCTGGGTTTGTTTCAAAATCACCACTGGGCATCGAAATCATTTTTATGTTGTCAAATACAATTTGTTATTAACACAGTGAGGTTTATTATTTAAAATGTATTCATTGTACATAGAACAACATCTGTTAATTGTTAAACAATTGTAGAAGCTGTGTACATGTAATTTGAGGAGTGTGGTCATTATTGCCAAAAGCACATCTATTCATTTCAAGGTGTGATCCTACCACACATGAACTAAATTGGCACAATGGTAGCTGGGATAAGAGCAAATAACTGCATTGATCTAATTTGCATATTTTTGTTCTATGTCTATTTCTTACGCTACGTACCAGCCAATACCCCCCCCACACACACACACACACACGGCTCATATGGACTGCGTTCAGTTGATTATAGTTCCTGGGCTCTCTGGAATAAGAGAAAATAACTGCATTGATCTAATTCGCATATTTTTGGGAGGGTGTGGTCATTATTGGCAAAAGCACATCTACTCGTGCCAAGGTGTTATCATACCAAATATGAACAAGTCATTGTCATATTTGAGTGACATATACATTCAAAGCAGATCATGACCAAAATCTCAGACCACTTTTAGTGGTCTGATCCGAAATGCACCTGCATATGTACAACACATTGTATGATGTGTGTGAAGTGTGGTCTTGATCGGTTCAGGCATGCCTGAGATATGGATGCTGAACTGTATTCAGTTAAAACCCGATTTGGAAAACAAAACAACGTGATTCAAGGTACCATAATCAGAAGTGTGAACTATATTCACCCATGGTGAATATGTGCAATTTTGACGAATTTTTGACCTTAAAAGGACTGGCCCAAATGCACAAGCATATGTATGATATAATGTATGATGTGTATGTAAAGTTTGAACTTGATCTGTCCAGGCATGTCCGAGATATGGATCGAAAACTAAATTCTTTAAAACAAAATGGCTGCCAGTCGGCCATTTTGAACTTGATCCGAAGAAAAATTGGTGTGCATCAAGCTCATATTATGTTTAATATATGCACTAAATCTGAACAAAATCCATCCATGCATAACTGAGATCCGGTTCCGGAATTGTGAAAATACGTGATTTTAATGCATTATCGGCCTTAAAATGGCCATCATTCAGCTATTGTTAAGCGGATCATGAAACAAATGCACATATCTATTTGTGACATGATGTACCATGTGTGTGTGAAGTTTGAACTTGATCAATCCAGGCATGTCTCGGATACGGATCCAGAACTGAATTCTTTAAAACAAAATGGCCGCCAGTCGGCCATTTCTAGCTTGATCCGAAAAAAAAATGACGTGCATCAAGGTCCTATTATGTTTAATGTATGTACCAAATTTGAACAAAATCCGTCCATGCAT